ATAATTCACTTTTAGAAAGTCTTTCCCGCCAAAAACATTAATTACACACTAAATATGGTAATTTTAGAATCTATTTTAAATTAAAAAAGTATTAATTACATTATTATAGTTTTCTATTAAAATGGAATCCGGATTGTATTTAATTATTCCGTTAGATATATTCTGTTATAGCATATTTGTTAGCGGATTTAATGGTGCATGCAATATTTTGTTAGCATATTTATGGCGATTTATTTTATACATACCAATTTATTTACACTTATTATTTTAATTTATCATGATCCACTTTTTATGGTAGATGTTGGGTATTTTATCTTCATATCAATATATTTTAAAAAATCAGTGATATTGTCAAATCATTTTTATTTAGATTTTTAGATCCTTTGTTTTATACGTAATTTAAAATCAAGCCTTTTCATAAAATCTCGGTTTTTATGAAAATGATTTTCTCAACTAATATTTTTTGTATCTATCAGATTTTGTAAAATTACTTATTAAAAATAAAATTCATTTTATCAAATCATTTTATAAAATCAAGGTTTGTATGAAAATAATTTTGTTGAGTGTAATTTTTTCTATTTATCAGATTTTATAAATTATTGATTAAAACTTGAAATTACATTTACAAATGGGCAATATATATTTTTCATTTTTATTTGGAAACAAACTTTAAATCATCAATGGTATTAGACATGTTATATTCATAATTTGAAATTTTATAGTTGTTAGTTTTATATAAAAATAAGATATAAAAGTGCAATATAAACAACTACAACATTCTCAGATTTTCCAATAAAAAACGTAATAAACAGCGCGTGAAAAAAAATACACAATTTTGATGATATACAATTAGCATTCACGTGAAAAAAATATACAATATGAATAAAAATCACCATTAGCGTTCAATTGTATTAGACATGTTATATTCACAATTTGAAATTTTATAGTTTTTTTTTTATAAAAAAAAGATATAAAAGTGCAATATAAATAACTACATCATTCTGAGTCTTTCCAATAAAAAACGTAATAAACAGCGCGTGAAAATAATACACGGTT